ATATTTTGGAGGGGAGAAACAGAAGATGAAAACTGTAACAGGGAAACAAACCTTGCTTTGAGTACTTGAAATACTTTTTAAATATTTTGAATACTTTAAAACTTTCAATTTGTGATCAAATCCTGCACCACAGGATCATGCGAAAATAAGGAATTAATTAACTGAGAGTCAACTTTTAAAATTTAACTGAAAGGTGGCTGTGGAAGAAAATTGCAAACCATTTCAAGATGATTGCTCATTCCTAAATTTCTCATGTATATATGCAACTTGGTAAAACACAAAGTTATGATTTGAAGTAAATCAACATGAGATTGCTTCTTCCTTTTTGATTTCAAGAAGTATTAGAAAACAAAGTTATCTCTTATTATCAGCTCTTGACATCTTATATTAGAATCTGATAAACATAAATATAGAAACTTTTTAAAACTAATTTGATTGTTTTCAGGGTGGTTTCACAGTGAAAATAAACAGGTGACAAAATTTAGAGGAAACAATATAGATCCTATGTTAGTATTTTTGAATGAGTTTTCAGTGAAAAGTATTTGAAATGTCTTCTCAATTTAGCATATATAACAAAAATGTAGCCAATATGAATCTCAAATTTCAAAATAAAATGAATTTTAAAAACTCTAAATTGAATACAAAGTATGGCATTTGTAGGGAGCAAAGAATTAAGACAGTTGATCTCCAGTAAGCTAGTGTTAATTTTATAACACATTCAACATTTTAGAGGAAAATTACACTGATTTTCTTTGAGAGGCTTTTGGATTCTTGCTTCTTATTAGTTGGGGTTCCATACCATGAACAATTGGTTGATACATTCCTTTCACATCAATATGCTGCTAACTAGAGGGATTTATGACTAGATTTGGAGGTTCTGGCAGCTGAAGGTGATGAGTTGAATTTCAGCTTCTTGTCGATTCAGTATTTCTTGACTATATTGTTGTAGTAGCTTTCTGTTCATTTGTATCTGCTGGACACAGCTTATTAACTGTGAAAGACAAATTCAAGTTATTGACCTTGTAGAATGGAAAGAATTTTGGATCTGGATTTAGAGAAGCTAAATTTTGAATCCTTGCTTTCTCATTTACTACTACCCAGTTATATCCTCCCTATAAGTACAGTTCCTTCCAACTCTGAATCTTATTATTTTTGTTTGAAAATGAAATAAATGAAATAAGTTTATTAGAGTATCATATTCAAAATGACTCATCTCACAAACTGGCATTACAAATAAAGAATTTAAGAACTAGAAAATAATGTAATTTTCTTAACAATTTAGATGATACATATAAAACATAATACTTATAGAATAACAGATATGTTAGTAGAATAGATATAATCCAACAGTAATATAATATACAATATTATATATCATGGGCATATAGGTATACATACCTATATGCCTAAATTTATACATAGAAATCAATCTATCATCTATCTAGCTATATCCAACTAGCCAATCCATCTACATAGATTTTTTCTAAACAGACTGTTTCAACAAAAGGATCAAGAGTCGGAAATTAAGTTGTCAGTAGCTAAGCATCTTCAAGAATATTTTCCAAAATAATCTTTTGTTTCCTTGCTTTAAAGAAAAGTAATGACTATGCAACTATTGTCCTCATTTATTTTGAAGTTTCTCAATAAGGAGCTTGGTGAAGTCTATAGAAATGTAAAAATAAATTTACCATTTTGCTTCTTTTTGTATCCCCAGCACTTTGGTATCCCCAGCAAAGAGTAGGGGCTTAATAAATGTTTATTGGTCAAAAAATAAAATATCCAAAAAATTTTTAAATCAATAAAAAATTATCTCCTACAATTGTTAATAAGTGACAAAGTCAATACAAATGTATTTTTCAAACCATCTTCATAAACAATTAGATTACATCAAATTAAATCAGTAGTTCAAAAATCCTTACCCTGAACAATCTGAAGCACTAAGTTACTTTTCTTTTCTTTTCTTTTCTTTTTTTGAACTATACCAACAAAGGCAACTATACAGCAATTACCAGAACTCGGAGGAAAAAAAATCTGGTACATTTATTATCCTAAGAACTACATTTTGTACAGACACATGCATTAGGTTCCTTTTTATCAGACTATCTTCTAAATTTGCAATTTCTAAATTAGAAAACATGAACTCTGAAGCACACAATTATACAGAAATGTCAACTAAGCCCAAATAAAAAATCCAGATGAATATAATAAATTATAATAATTATTATAATAATTTATTAACACCTAACTGCAAAAACATGGGTAAAGGAACCTAAAAGTTATTAAACCACCTTGTCTTTGACTGTTGATCATCTTCATGTTCAGTAATGTTTTCAGTAACTTTCAGTCCTGAATCATCAGTGCTCACTTGATAAATAAAAAAGATTTAAAAAATAAGCTCTACTCTGTCATTTTTCATACTATTACAAAAATTATATAAAAATGTACTTAATATTTTAATAATTATTTAGCAGATGGACATCTGACCATATCAAGTCTGACAACATCACTCCACTACTCAGTAAATTCTGGTGACTGAAATTAAATATAAGTTTTTATGCTTAGCTTTTAAAGCCTCATTCAATCCTGCCCCAATCTATCTTTCCAAACTTGTTAAATATTAATTCAGTCTTCATACTGTGATACAGCCAAACTCGCCTTCTCTCTGTTCTTCAAACATCATACTCAATCTGATTTTACACATTCTTTATCATTCCCTTTGCAACACACTTTTCCACCTCTGCTTCAAAGTACACATGTCTTTAAGATCAAATTAAAGTATTTTATGATGTTCTTCCAGGTTATATCCCAAATTCGAGCAGAGTTCTCTACACCACACATACATTTGTGAAGCTTGTTTTCTCCCCTATTAGTATACAGGCATCAGTAACTACATTTCCCGGCTTCTTACATTTGAGTCCCCGAGCACAGTCTACAATTCATGTATAGGGGCCGACAAACATTTCCCAAACCTTGCACTCCAGATCTTTTGCTAAGAATATAAAGTTCTGCCCCATCACCTTAGTTTGCTTAGTTAGCGTTACGCAAAATTCAAAATCTACTTTCCACATGAAGCCTTTTCCAAATCACTTCTCTTCCCTCCTAAAGGCTAATATCTTGTTTTTTTGTATTATCCTCCATCTACTCTAAATGTATCTTATATGTATAGTTATTGATATGCTGTTTTCAAAAAGGAAATGAAGCAATCCCTTTTGAAGATGATATGGTCTACACAGAAAACCATAAAGATTCAACTAAAAATTAATTGAAACAACCAACAACTTCAAGACAGTAGCAAGATATGTAAAAAGTCCACACAAACTATCATGTTTTTGTGTTTTGAGTGTAAAAATCCAAAATGTAATTATTTCCCAGAGTTCTATTAACTGATTTTTACGTCAGGATGGGTTTAAACTAAAAGAGAAAAGGACATTTAACAAACTGAAAAAACTTTCAGGTATACATCACAAAAGTCCAGAACTCAATGGAAAATTCAACAAATATAGATATGTAATTTGGAAGGTTTTGAGAGTTCAGTCTTCTGTGGTATTTAAAATATTTAGTTTGGATGTATCTTTGTATGTATTAGTATGTAGGTATTTGTATGGACATCTCATCAATCTTATCAGTAACCCCTTAGGTGGTTGTGGACAGTGTTTATATTAAATACAGAGGGCAGAGTAAGATAGGAATGGCGTGGGTTATTTGTACACTCTCTCAAGGTTCAGTAAAACTTGGGTTCCCATTGTGCTGCTTCCTTGAGTAAATTGTGAGATCTAGTTCATTTTGATGGCTACAGAAAATTTTTGGTATCTCTCTGATTTAACTGAAAACTAAGTAAGCCTTGTGGCCCCTCTCTGATTTGGGGACAAGAGTTAAACCTGATTTTCCTCTCTAGGTTTTTGTGTCACGCTATTTGTCCTTCATTTTCGAAGAAAAATATGTAATCATGAAGGTGATGCCATGCCTTGTGAGTGAATTGCATTCAACAAAGGAGGGCTTCCACAGTCACCAGCCTCACTTTTTCCTCTGGAGCCTTCAGATGACATTAGTCAGACGTAGATTAGGACGACTGGAGATGGCCCAGAAAACAGTGGGGGAACCTGACCTTTTGAAGAAGAGGTCTATCCCAGCTCTCATTTTGACTGCGACTCTGCCCATTCAGTGATTAAGGTTTAAAAAAAAAATGAAACAAATAATGGCCTCTTTTAAAAAAAATAGATCTGGGAGGGGAACAGCCTCACGAGTTTTGACCAAAATCGAAATAATTGTTACTTACATTCATTTTGAGCCAATCAGGCCCAAACAGTGATGAAGTAGGGCTTAATCTGGGACCAGTGATTTGGGGTTAAGGCTGATCTTTAAGAGAAAAAACAAAAAAGGTCTCTTTCTCTGTCATCCCTATCCAACAGACACCTCCTCTGAGGTATGTTTTCTCTAATTGTTATTATTATTATTTGGAAGTGCTGAATTTGAATCTACATTCCCCTCTCCTATATCAGGGGTTCTACTCCTACCATTTTCTTTCAGAGGGTGAAGCTGTTGGCCATTGGAGTCTCATTTGATTAAGTTGTTTTTTTTCCTAAGGCAATTGGGGTTAAGTGACTTGCCCAGGGTCTCACAGCTAGTAAATGTCAGAGGCCAAATTTGAACTCAGGTCCTCCCTGAATCCAAGGCTAGTGCTTTATCCACTTTGCCACCTAGCTGCCTCCTTAAGTTGTAATCTTAGTGGTATGCAGGTAAATGTTTAACAACTAGGTTTTTTTTTGGGGGGGGATGTAAGCACCACACTTTTAAGTTTAATCCACATTTAGTCACACTTTCTCCCTCACTTTCTTAAGTCTAGAAAATCAACAAAACAATAAATCAAGCCTTTGTAGCCTGTTGATTTCCAAGCCAAAAATGCTCACACTGAAAATTTAACAATCAGTTCTCAGGAGCTGGTTTGAGCTGACTCCAGCACATCTCTGAAAGTTTGGTTTTTGGTTTTTGGTTTTTAACAGACCTTTACAATTTTTACCCTTGGATAACCATGAATGAAGAAGCAGCAGCATCTATCAGACACATTTAAGCCCCTGAGGACCTGCACCAGCCCCCCATAAGCCAACTTTCTTTGCAAAAGGAACAATATTTGTACATTATAGGAAGACCAGACTTGGATGAGAGGGAGGGGGAGGGAACAAGAATTATAACTGGACATTTCTATAGTGCTTTAAAAGTTTGCAAAGCATTTTATCTGTTTTGTAGAACAGGAAATTGTACAGAGAGGTTAAATGATTTGCCCAGGGTGGCACTACTAGATGTGGAATTAAAATAAAAAATTTTTAAACTCAGTTTCTTGTTTTTGTTTTTTACTCCAAGTCCAATCAGTCAAAGTATTTACTAAGTGCCTATTATTTGCCAGACCCTGTGCTAAATGCAGAAGCTACAAAAGGAGGCAAAAGACAGCCCCTGTCCTCAAGGAGCTCATGATCTAAGGCAGAGACAACACACTGACAAATATATACAAAGTAAACTATTTAGACGCTAAATAGGAAATAATTAAGAGGTGGAAGGCACTTGAATTAAGTGGGGTCGGAAAAGGTGGATGGAATTTTAGAAGTAATTAGAAGGAAGCCAGGGAAGCCTGGTGGAGATGAGGAGGGAAAGCGCGTCAGGGATGGGGGACAGCCAGTGAGAATGTCCAGAGCCAAGATGGAACAGCCAAGAGACCAGTGTCACTGGATCAAAGAGTGCTGGAGGGGTGGGGGCAGACCAAGGTGGAAGAAGCCTGGAAGGCCCAGGGTTCCATCCACTAGCCCAGGGCTCCATCCACTGGCCCAGTGGCGGCAAACTCAAATAACAGAAACAGGGCCATTAATAAATATATAAGGATCCCTTTGGGCTATGTACGACTTAGTTTGAAACCATCATATTATCTACGTTTTATTTGTTTTGCTAAATATTTATTAAATTTTTTATTATTTTGTTAAATTTTATTGTTAAATATTTGTTTTGTTAAACATTTTAATCTGGTTGGGCCCAGTTGGGAGTGTTCTGGGCCACAACTGACCAGTGTGTGTTTGACCCCTCTGTGCTACATCACATTTGAAGACCCTCTAAGACATCACAGAACCCAGGTCCTCTCAAGAATATCAGCTCCAGCTTCACTCTAGCTTTGAGGATGCTGCAGGAATTTTGAGGGTCTTTGCTAAGCCACTGTACTGCATGAATAAGCCAATACGGGAAACAGGCAGACGGGTAAATTGCAATTTATTGATCCACTCAAGAGCATGAGCCACAGCATAAGTAGGTAATGAACACCACTCCCTCTCCCCTCTCCCTTCTCCTCCCCTCCCCTTTTTCTGTCTCTCTGCGTCTGTCTGTCTCTGTTTCTCTCTCTGTGACTCTCTCTGTGTCTGTCTCTGTGTCTATCTCTGTGTCTCTCTGTCTCTGTGTCTCCTCTCTCTCTCTCTCTCTCTCTCTCTCTCTCTCTCTCTCTCTCTCTCTCTCTTTCTCTCTCTGTGACTCTCTCTGTGTCTGTCTCTGTGTCTATCTCTGTGTCTCTCTGTCTCTCTGTCTCTCTGTCTCTCTGTCTCTCTCTCTCTCTCTCTCTCTTTCTCTCTCTGTGACTCTCTCTGTGTCTGTCTCTGTCTCTATCTCTCTGTCTCTCTGTCTCTGTGTCTCCTCTCTCTCTCTCTCTCTCTCTTTCTCTCTGTGACTCTCTCTGTGTCTGTCTCTGTGTCTATCTCTGTGTCTCTCTGTCTCTGTGTCTCCTCTCTCTCTCTCTTTCTCTCTCTCTCTCTCTCTCTCTCTCTTTCTCTCTCTGTGACTCTCTCTGTGTCTGTCTCTGTGTCTATCTCTGTGTCTCTCTGTCTCTGTGTCTCCTCTCTCTCTCTCTCTCTCTCTCTCTCTCTCTCTCTCTCTCTCTCTCTCCCCTTTCCTCCAGAGTTGTGACCCAAAGCAGTTTATATTTTTATCAAAAGATACTCTTATCTTTATGCTTTATTATTTATCAAAAGGATCTTAAATGATTACAAAAGAAAAAGGTGTGTTCTTTAGCATCGACATTTCCACTGGACCAGCAGGCCTGAATATTTTCTTTGTCAGTTAATCAATATTTGTTAAGCCTCTACTGCACATTTATCAGATGGGATAAAGGGGAAGGGGATGAGTTTTCTTTTGTAACTGTGAAGTGATTGGGGGAAGGGAGATACTGAAGGAGATATTGGGTAAGTTGATGTAATAACAGCAAACATAGCACAAAATGAAATCAGTCTTATTCTCTCAAAAAAATCCACATTCAACAAGGGCCTTGTTTTACTGCATGGTTGCTTGTACTAAGCAAAAAGACCAACTTCCATTGTTTACTTCTGGTGGGATTTATGCAGGGTGCCTGCCAATATCTTTTACTTAAAAAAAAAACAACCTTTTATTATAAACGTCATCATTAATAAAGAAATCTAATAAAAATGCCTTCCAGAATAAAAGATAAAAGTTTACATGAAATATCTTCCGTAGAGAATTTAACAGGAGTCAGGAAGACCTGAGTTCAAATCTGGCCTCAGACACTTACTAGCTGTGTGACTTTGGGCAAGTCATTTAACCTGTTTGTTAAAGAAACCACAAGCCACTCCAATATCTTTGCCAAGAAAACCTCAAATGGGGTTACAAAGAATTTGACCCGACTGAGGAACAACAATAACAACAACAAAAAGGAATTTAACAAATTCTCTGGCTAGAGACTGGCTAGGTGAGCCCAGTGCTTGTAGTGCTGGGCCGGGAGTCTGGAAGCCCTGAGTTCAAATCCAGTCTCAGACACTTCCTAGCTGTGTGACCCTGGGCAAGTTACTTCACCTCTGTCTGCCTCAGTTTGCTAATCTGCAAAATGGGGGAAATCACAGTTGTGATGAGGACCAAATGAGAATAATTGTAAAGCATTTAGTACCATGCCTGACACATAGTAAACGTTACATGAATGTTATGTTTATCATTATTTGCATTTCACTCAAACAAGCTCTATGACCCCTGTTGGGCAAGTCTCTTTTTTTCTCTAGGATCCAGTTTCCTTCATAACATTTGGTTTATAATCAGGGGCTTTTCATCCCTTTGGGGTCCCAAACCCTTCTGGGAGTCTGGTGAAGCCTATGGACCCCTTTTTCAGAGTCATGTTTTTAAAAACATAAAGCAAAATAGAGGCTCCCAAGGGAAAGCAAAGCTTAAGTGAAAATAAGGATGGAATTTTTTTCCCATCCAAGTTCATGGGCCCCCTAAAATCTATCAACAGACTTCAATGGACTTCACAGCCCCCAGTTTAAGAAGCTCTGGAAAAGCTTTCTAAGGTCTCTTCAGGGGCTAAACCTCCAGGAATGGGCACTGATGAGAAGGAGGAAGAAGAGGAGCAGCAGGGCTTCACCCCTCCTCCCTTCCTCATGGGGGTTAAGAACCAGAAGGAAACCTTGGAGAGTGGCTGCCCAATGCTTTCTATATAGAGATGTGGAAAGCCAGACCCAGCAAGGGACCCAAGGTCACATAGCTAGGGGGATTCAAATACACTGTTCTGGCCCATAGGTCCATGCTTCTAGCTTCTCATGCTCCAACATGGGCCATTTTTGGAGTCCCATGAGTACCCAATTCCTGCCTAAGGTGGGGTGGAGGGGAACCAAGTAGTTGCATTTCCTCTGTCCTCCTTCCCAGAATGTATAAAATCACCGCAGCTAAATACTTTAATGAGCTCATTAGCATTTAGGATCAATTGTATTTTAGAGAAAAAAAGCCCTCTGAGAGATCACCTACTCTAATTCCCTTAGTGGACAAATAGTGAAGCCTAGAACATTTATATAGCCCTTATTATGTGCTAGGCACTGTGCTAAGCAATTTACAATTATTATCCCACTGGACCCTTACAACAACCCTTGCAGGTGGGTACCATTATGAGCCCCATTTTACAGATGAGGAACTGAAGCAGAGGTGAAGTGATTTGCTGAGGGTCACACAGCTAATACATGTCTGAGGTCAGATTTGAACTCAGGTCTTCCTGACCTCAGGCCCAGCACTCTATCCACTGTGCCACCCAGCTACTGGAATTAGGGCCCAAGTGTCCTGCCTCCAAAGGCATGTCCTCTTTCAAGCAAACATTAATTAAGCCCCTACTATGTGCCAGGCACCATGTTTTACTTTCCAGTTGGCTGAGTTTTCAGAAGTGCCCTCTTTTTTATTGGATCTATGTAATCCCAATAAGGAATATGTTGGAGGACCCTGAACTAGTCCCTCCCCTCTCTTGGGCTCTGGTTGTCCAGTTGGCCTAGATGAGTTCTGAGATAAAACCCTTTGACCCAGGAGTTCTTACAATTGAATGTTTTTCTTCAGCTTCATGTTTGCTTGTCCCGGCCTCTACTGCCTGGGGGTACCAAGTGTATGTAAAATGAGCCAGATGAACTGACCTTAGTTCCAGCCAGTCAGACTCTTGTGTATAAACTGGCCAAGGGACTGAGTACCTTCCAAAGAGTATACACAGAAACCACTGAATAGTGAAAGGAGTGATTGACTGGAGGGCCTCTGACGGAAACAGTGGGTCCCAGACCTCCAAGGACACTGAAGCCACGCTGTGCCTAGTTCCATTTCAGAGCCAGAAATGTCTTCAGCCCCCTTTCCCAGCCCCAGCTTGGACTGAATGTTACCAGAACCAGTAACACCTAAAGTCCCCAGGGGTACCCGGCCTGGGACAAAGTCCACACTTGTCCACACATCTTCATCTTCAGGTGCTTAGGAAAAACTCAACCTTGAGGTGGGGGAGGGGGGGTGTCAAATTGCCTTTTTCCACTTTTTGTGGTCCTAGAGTGGAAGGAATGAGTTGGCCTGAAAGTCAGAGGTCTGGGTTCATAAAATTCTAGGAATTAGGGCTGGAAGGACACTTTAAAGATTATCGATTATCTAGCTCAGAGGTTCTTAACCTTCTTCAGGCCCTGGATCTCTGAAGCAGCATAATGAAGCCTAGGGATCACTGCTCAGAACTAGTTTGTAAATGCATAAAATAAAGCACATAGGTAGCATTAGAAAGGAAGCCAATCACGTTAAAATAGTTATTGAGCGGCTAGATGGTGCAGTGGATAGAGCTCCGGCCTTGGAGTCAGGAGGACCTGAGTTTAAATCCGGCCTCAGACACTTGACTACTAGCTGTGTGGCCCTGGGCAAGGCACTTAACCCCTATTGCCTCACCAAAAAAAAAAATACAGTTACTGAAATAAAAAGCAACAACAACCCAAGTCTACAAGAACCCAGGTT